CATAATACTGATTCCTACTTATCACCCTATAAAGAACCAGAGATCGTTTTATACAGTAGTTATTGTTCAGCAGTTGTTGGATGTTTATCATTATTACTGTGAACAAGTTTTAGGTAAAACTTCAAACCAAATTTCAGCTTCATTTTTACAGTGCGGTTTCTCACACCCACTATTGTTGCTCAAAGTGATTAGTGCTCCATTGATGCTAAACACCATCAGTATTGTCTGAGCTCTGTGCATGCCGCTTCCTTACAGCGGAGTTATTTTCGCTCTAATTAAGGAATGTTTCTCTTGATGTTTCAGATTTAACTCTGAGCCAACACTTTACTTTTGTCCTCCTTGGAAAGGAGCTCTCAGTGTGTTAAACAGGTACCTTGTTTGTGTTTAGCTGATGTTCCAGGAAACAGTTACGTGACGCTGCTTTTCATAAAGCAGCAGGCCGGTTAACTACCACAGAAGATCACCCTGAACACAAACACGTCACTGCTGAGCTTTGCACTACTGAGGAGCAAGAGATGGCTTTTTTTTTATATTCTCTCCATCTTATCAACAACAGCAGCAAAGATTTTACAGGAAACGAAAGTGTGCTGAGTGAAATGCAAACTGAATACGAAAAAAAAAACATTGAGATAAAACAAGATTCCTCATGTGGCGAGGTGCATGAGCAACACACGCAACCACCTTGGTAGCTCAGCTGTTGTTAAAAGATAACATCCGGCCCATCGGGCTGTTGCGTATGTAGAATTGAGATGATGACGCCAACCTTTGACTACAAGTGGTTGAGTTCAAGAACCTGCAGGAATGCTTATTTACCTTTAGTTTTAGTTAATTTATTCATAAATGCAGCTAGACAGGAAAATAGAACTACTCAAGCAGAACCCTACTTAATGCAGGGAGCCAGAGGGCAGCCAGGAGCGTTAGACATTAAACCCTCTGGATTAATGTCTAATATTGTCTGATGTTTAAAAAAAAAAAACTCACACATTATTCTCCCTCCGGCAACTAACTAAAGCTTTAACAATGCATCCATCCATTTTATTTAGCCACTTTATATCAGTGCCCAGTGCCATCTCAACGGGTTTCAGGTCCATTACAGGTTAACGAAACACCACCATGAAGTAAAAACAAAAGAAACATCCATGCACTCCTTCCTTAGATGGGTCACTTTTATTAAACCTGGGTCCAAAAAAAAGAGAAAAATACAGTTTCCCTCAGTCCAAATAAAACCTCCGATACTTTACTTCTTAGCCCTTTATAGGGCAAGTTACCATTTTTGATCATTTGCCTTACAAAATGTAGTCCCCCCGTCCCTCAGTGAGGTCTAGAAGAACAAGATCTATATCCACCCATTCAGCAAAGATCCTGCTACATTGCTGTACATCTTATTTTGGCATTTGACCAATTAGATGATCCCTTGAATGATATATTACCTACTGTAAATTAAGTTGGAAAAAAAGTTAACAAGTCAAGCAAAAAAGGTAAAAAGCAAATTGAAAATTAAAAAAGTAAAGTTAAAAAGTTAATAAGCCTAGTCAACAATGATATTTAGGTTTATAAACAAAAAAATGAAAGTGCCAGTATCAGCATTAATGCCTCTAAGGTTATGTTGGACCAAGAAAAAAAGTTTTTTTCATTCTTAGAGTGTTTTTCATGAATTTTATGAAGCACTTTTGTAATTTTTCTTACTACATTCGGGAAAGTTGCCGTTTCTTGTTATTACAGTACATTGACATTCAGTTTTGCCATCAAAATATCCAGATTTTTTTAATGTTCCAACGGTAATAAGGTCTTGTCCTGGATTCTGAAAACAATATTGGCTTGAAATTTAGATTTTAAAAGTATTTTACTGATTGCCCTATATTAAAGAAAAGACTACTTTAATATCTAAAATACGAAATATGTCATTATGTTTAAAAAACCATTGCATGTTTTGGGTTTCAGAATAAATAAACAACAAAAAGTTTGTAAAAAGAGAATATATTTTTTCTATGTGATGTTTTTATATATACAAAGTGATGCAAAAAAAAACAGAAGGAAAAAAGATTAAAAACAAACAAACAAACCAAGCTACCAGCTGCAGAACCCTGGTTTAATAAGATTAACTATACAGGCTAAAACCATTGCTATGAATACACACATCATTGACCTTCTATATCGTCAAAGCTTATTTTATTGCTTAACAGAGGTGCAAAAAACAAATAGCAATAAAGATAAGGATGCAGCAGCCCCAAGAACTGCTCAGAATGAGCACAGGTTAGAATAAAACCACCATGAATGCAGTTGTTTCAAGCATCAGCCAAAAAGACTGCAGACTCAACCTTCCAGCCGTTTTTACAGGAAGCAGCCACCCTCCAGCCAGCCCTCTCTCAGGGTGGGCGTGCAGAGGAAGAACACAGCCATGCTCAGCACACATCCGTTCAGTGAGAACACTCTAAAGCCCACAACAAAAACACACTCCTCAGGCTGCATTATTCCCCCACCACCGCTAGAGGCAGACACATTATTCTGGTTGCATTGGAGCGGATTTCACCCTTGTTTCTGAAACTTTAGAAAAAGGCTGTCATCTTCAGGGTGACTGGTGATTATTACAGCAGGTTTTACACATACATGGGAGCTTTTAAAACATAATTGCACACTTAACTAAGGCAGTTTTCTCCTGGTAATATCTACCCTTTAAAGCGGATAGTCGCATTTTCTTGTCTCCCGGTTAAAGCTAGGCCAAAATTAAGCCATTTCTGATACCCTTTCTTATCGGCGCTCTGACAAGCTGGAAGGCTGTAAAAGCTGCTAATAACAATCTGTCTCTGTCAGTCAGTGGGTGGAATCTGAGTGATTTCCTCTCTAGTCCACTCCATCATTAATCTGATGCCATTACTCTGAAAAATCCTCATGTCAAGAGACTTTTTGTGGCTCTTATTAAACATGTGATATCAGCAATGGCGTAAATTGGTAAGCAGAGACTGCAGTTGCTTAGGGGCCCCTGACCTCTTAGGGGCCCCTTCACTGACACCTGGTTGCCCCACTACTTTGTGGACTGGTACATCTCTTTGCAGAAGCAATGGTGCAAAAAAATCCTCTTAAACCCACCTGATATTAAGGGAATCGACCGGACCTTATTTATACCCCAACACATGGCAGATTTCAACAAGATGGTGAGCAGTTTAAACACGACACCAATAGCAAAGCAGACAGTGGTACTTTTAATTACTATGTTCATTAAATGGTTGGTGAAAAATAAGCTCATTTAACATGTTTCAAACCGCAATAAAGATCTTTAAAAACGATGTGTTTGAGTATTTTATTTTTAACACTACCACTTGGAATTATGGGTAATCCAGTGTTGTACTTCATTTGGGGCCCAGACAATGTTGCTTACGGGCCTTTTATTGTGTCGTTACCCACTGGATCGCATACAAGCGTGAAGGTGCGCAGAGTTTATAAAGCAGCAGGATCCATCTTAATCCAATGATTACAAAAATAATAAACAGGCCACTTGGTTTTAGTTGTTGTGGGTTTGAAGTAGAATCATTTATTTTTGTAAGTCGGAGTTTTTAACAGCCTAAAACTTTCAGTACGTTGGGTCTCTTTGCAGAAGTAATGGTGCAAAAAAAATCCCTTCTTAACCCACCAGATAGTAGTATTTCTGACCAGACCTTATTTATACCCCAACACAAGGCAGATTTCAACATAATGGTGAGCAGTTTAAACACGAACCAATAGCAAAGCAGACAGTGGTTATTTTAATGACTATGTTAATAACTGTGTATAGTTTATTAGATGGTTGGTAAAAATAAACTCATATAATATGTTTCAAACCGCAATAAAGCTCTTTAAAAAAGGATGTATTTGAGTATTTTATTTTTTACACTACCACTTGGAATTATGGGTAAGGAAGAGGATTAGGGCCACTGATTTTTTTTTTTTTTTTAAAGTTAACTGATTTTTAAATTTTATTTCAGTTTAATATGGGAAAAAAGTCAGAATTCTAAGATTAATCTCAGAATTCTGGCTTTTTTCTCAGAATTCTGACACTTTTTCAGAATTGTGACTTTAATCTCAGAATTCTGAATTTTTTCCTCAAAATTCTGACTTTATTCTCAGAATTCTGAATTTTTTTTCCAGAATTCTGACTTTTTTCTAAGAATTCAGACTTTTTTCTCAGAAATCTGACTTTTTTCACCAATGTGTTTCTGTTCCTCTCAAACAACTTACATCTTTGTCAGTGAAGCTGAGTGAAAAAAGTCAGAATTCAGATTTTTTTCTCAGGGTTCTGACTTTTTTTTTTTTTAGAATTCTGACTTCTATCTCAGAATTCTGACTTCTTTCCCATATTAAACTGAAATAAATTTAAAAACCAGTTAACTTAAAAAAAAAGAAGAAATTTCAGTGGCCCTAATCCTCTTCCATATATGGGTAATCCAGGTGTTGTACTTCATTTGGGGCCCAGATAATGTTGCTTACGGGCCTTTTGTTGTGTCGTTACGCCACTGGGTCACATACACGCGTGAAGGTGCGCGGAGTTTATAAAGCAGCAGGATCCATCTTAATCCAACCATTTCCAAAACAATAAACTGGCCACCTGGTTTTAGTTGTGCGTTTGAAGTAGAATCATTTATTTTTGTAAGTCGGAGTTTTTTACAGACTAAAACTTTCAGTGCGTTTGGGTTGTACTGTGAGCCTCTGAGTGCAATAAAAGGGGGAAACGCTCCTGATAACTTCTGCCTGCGCTGCCTTGGTGGATTTAAAGCGATCAGAGCCGCTCGATCAGATTAATAAACAGGAACAGAAAGTTCGCACTCTGCCACTGCCCTTATTTTCCTATCATCTGGTAGACATGTACACAGTGTCCCTAAAGTTTTCCCCTGGTTCGGCCATGGCTTGTTTGGAACTTGTCAGCTGATTCTCCACTCTCTACTACTACGCGTTCACAGGAGCGCGCGCTCACGCAGCAGGCAGGGCGCGAGCTGACAAACAACTAAAATAACATGGATTCTTCTCACCTGGTTTGGAGTCACAGCAGCTCGGCAGCACCGTGCCGGAGTTCCTAGCCGAAAAAAACAACAATAAAAGAACACGCACAAAAAGAAACAGCGTTGTAGAAAGCAACGTGGACGGGTTGTTTACAAAGTCTCTCCGTGAACTGCGATTGGTCTGAGAGGCAGAGTCAACGCCCCAAACCTCACTGGGCTGCTCTGGGTTTCAGGGTCTGATTTCCTCAATTCACAGCCGCTGATTACAGAAGAAAAGAGAAAAATTGCACATGACTTGGTTCACCTGAACAAAAGGAACCCTTTAGTTTTAGATAAAAGTCCTTTTTATTACTTCATACAACCAGGATGAATGTCATTCATTTATTCCTGCTTCACTTAATAAAACAATATAAGGGTGATTCTTAAACTACGCGCACTTTTATGTCCTTTAATCATATTTGAAGAAAAAAATAAAACAGGGACATTTCACACCTTTATGGTTATCATTACAATGAAACTGTATTAGTACACTTGTTTTAGTCTGCGATGACTTTTTCACCTTTTTGCAGCCTCATTTATATGTAAACATTACCGTTTTGTGCTTGTCCCACACCCAGACTTTTGATCTTCAATGATAAAAACGAATAGTAAAAAAACATTTTTTCTAATGTTTTAAAATATCATTGAATAAAATATCGGTAAAATAATCAAACTATAATTTGAGTATTTAATGTCATACAACTGTTTATGTGATTTTGTAAACCAATTGTGGTTGTCCCACACTATTGTCGTAATTTCCACCACAACACTGTAATGTCCCTTTAAAATGTTACTATGAAAGATTGTTTGGGTAGTTGCTATGGCAATGAACAGTGACATCACAGCACAAGTCTGACATGGTGGGAATTTTGACTTCATTTCTTTTGAAGTAAAGCCAAGGTAAATATTGCTTGAAATGAAAATATTTTTATTGTATGTAATTTCCAAACATGCCGTAACATCAATTCAGTTTGGAAATAAATTTTTATTTTAACACACATACAGGTAAAAGCCAGTAAATTAGAATATTTTGAAAAACTTGATTTATTTCAGTAATTGCATTCAAAAGGTGTAACTTGTACATTATATTATATTATATTTATTAATTGCACACAGACTGATGCATTCAAATGTTTATTTCATTTAATTTTGATGATTTGAAGTGGCAACAAATGAAAATCCAAAATTCCGTGTGTCACAAAATTAGAATATTGTGTAAGGGTTAAATTTTGAAGACACCTGGTGCCACAAACTAATCAGCTGATTAACTCAAAACACCTGCAAAGGGCTTTAAATGGTCTCTCAGTCCAGTTCTAAAGCCTACACAAACATGGGGAAAACTTCAGATTTGACAGCTGTCCAAAAGGCGACCATCGACACATTGCACAAGGAGGGAAAGACACAAAAGGTTATTGCTGAAGAGGCTGGCTGTTCTCAGAGCTCTGTGTCCAAACACATTAATAGAGAGGCAAAGGGAAGGAAAAACTGTGGTCAGAAAAAGTGTACAAGCGATAGGGATCATCGCGCCCTAGTCAAGATTGTGAAAAAAAAAACCCATTCAAAAATGTGGGGGAGATTCACAAGGAGTGGACAGCTGCTGGAGTCAGTGCTTCAAGATCCACCACCAAGAGACGCTTGAAAGACATGGGTTTCAACTGCCACATACCTCGTGTCAAGCCACTGTTGACCAAGAAACAGCAAGAAAAGCGCCTCACCTGGGCTAAGGAAAAAAAGAGCTGGACTGCTGCTGAGTGGTCCAAAGTCATGTTTTCTGACAAAAGCAAATTTTGCATTTCCTTTGGAAATCGAGGTCCCAGAGTCTGGAGGAAGACAGGAAGGGCACAGGATCCACGTTGCCTGAAGTCTAGTGTAAAGTTTCCACCATCAGTGATGGTTTGAGGTGCTATGTCATCTGCTGGTGTCGGTCCACTCTGTTTCCTGAGATCCAGGGTCAACGCAGCCGTCTACCAGCAAGTTTTAGAGCACTTCATGCTTCCTGCTGCTGACCTGCTCTATGGAGATGGAGATTTCAGGTTCCAGCAGGACTTGGCGCCTGCACCCAGCGCAAAATCTACCCGTGCCTGGTTTATGGACCATGGTATTTCTGTTCTAAATTGGCCAGCCAACTCCCCTGACCTTAGCCCCATAGAAAATCTGTGGGGTATTGTGAAAAGGAAGATGCAGAATGCCAGACCCAAAAACGCAGAAGAGTTGAAGGCCACTATCAGAGCAACCTGGGCTCTCATAACACCTGAGCAGTGCCAGAAACTCATCGACTCCATGCCAAGCTGCATTAATGCAGTAATTGAGGCAAAAGGAGCTCCAACCAAGCATTGAGTATTGTACATGCTCATATTTTTCATTTTCATACTTTTCAGTTGGCCAACATTTCTAAAAATCCCTTTTTTGTATTAGCCTTAAGTAATATTCTAATTCTGTGACACATGGAATTTTGGATTTTCATTTGTTGCCACTTCAAATCATCAAAATTAAATGAAATAAACATTTGAATGCATCAGTCTATGTGCAATTAATAAATATAATGTACAAGTTACACCTTTTGAATGCAATTACTGAAATAAATCAAGTTTTTCAAAATATTCTAATTTACTGGCTTTTACCTGAATAATTTACATGCTAAGCATTTTGCGATGGTGCCACTCCCTCTCTCTCACCCTTAGTACCACCTATGCACAACTGCAATTAATTTATTATTATTTAATGATGCATTTATTTATCATTATTATTTAACATTATGCTCCATAAAGTTTAAAAAAAGAAAGGTTTGTTGTCTGTATGGTCCATTCATTGTAATTTCCACAACAACCAGTAATTTCCACCATGCCGTGTAATTTCCACCACACCATTTGTTTTTCAATAAATTGTTAATCACTCATTAAAACCTTCTTCATAACTTAAGAGATAATTTTCCACTTTAATTAAAAACACAAGTATTTACAACTTGAAATGTATCTTGCGATTCCAATGCTATATCTAAGGTTATGGCGAACATAAGATTCGCGTCTTGTCCTCATCACAATTAATTTACCTAATCCATAAATGTATGTGTTTAACAATAAAGGCATAAACAGTTAAAACTATATATGAAATTGTTCTTCCAGTGAAAAAACATTATGTGTATCATAGTATTTTAGAATAAATGACAAATATTTATATGTGATGGAAATTACATTTGTGCCAGCCGACTATTTGTTAAAAAACACCAATTTGTCTTAAAAAATCAGTGTGTTCTCTTAAGAATCTTCCAATTAGAATACTTATGCTAACCAATTACATTGTGAGAATTTATATTTTATTTTACTTTTTCTCTTCAAGTTTGCAAGGCCAATTGTGCCCGTAGTTAAAGAATCACCCATAAACCAGAAAACAACTGGCACCATCCACCCTGCTTTTTAATAATAAAAAGGAATTATCAAAATAACAGTTTCTTTTTGTTGTTTTTTTTTTTTTTTTACATTTAAAGTCTACTATAAGCATGACTATACCTGCTATAATACCCTGCAGCAGAGGTAAATTAAGAGACATTCTGGTCTCATAATTCCCTCAGAACTGGACTAACCACGCATCAGAACCTAATCCCACTTTTTGACCTTCTCCTCTTGGTCTCTTGGCCACTTTCTGGCATTTTTAAAAATCTGTCAGGATCTGATGTTATGTTTTTATATAGGGCTAACTATACTTTGTACTAATTTCCTGTTAATTGTGCTCCTTTCCTCAGATTTCTTAACTCAGCTTTCTTGTATTCATTCAGTTATCGCTGTTCCATTCAGTATTTGCTCTAAGTAGCTCATCCAGCTCCTGCGTTATCTTCACTGTCTGTTTTCCCCAAGTTTCTCTTTGTCTTGTACTTATTCCTTCATTAAAAAGGAATAGAAATCCATTTAAAAATTTGTAGGTCCTTAATTTAAATAATTTAGATAATTAGAAAGCCTTATTACAGTTCTCTATCTGCATTTGGGTCTAACGAAAAACTTTGTTCGGTTGGTTAGTTTTCTAACGATTTTGATTTCATTAGAACATTTAAATTTCTTAATCTGACATCTTGCTGCAGATTAGCACCAGATTAGCACCTCATCGAAATACCTCTGAGATGAGGATCCAAATTTTTCTTAAGCTCTTGGAATTTTTATTATTAAAAATTTTATATAACATGAAGGGGCAGAAATAAACATATTGAAAAATTGGTTGACACCCTTTGTTGAATGAAAAAAACAAAAAAAAAAAGTAAAAAAAATCAAAGTCAGACATTGCTTTTTAACTATACTTGAACAGAGTGATAAAAAGAATAGGCCTGGACAAAAATAATGGCATCCCTAGAAAATGCTGAAAATAGTGTGACTAAAGTGACTAAATTAAATAAATGAGAATCACAGGTACCTAAAGCCCTGTAATCAGTCAGTGGGTCTTTAAATAGGGCTACAGGTAGTCACTCTGCTGTTTACTGACATGGTGTTTACCACACTCAACATGGAATAGAAGAAGCAAAGGAAACAGTGGTCTTAGGAGATAAGAAAGAAAATTATAGACAAGCATATTTAAGGTCAATGCTATAAGACCATTTCGAGCAGCTTGATATTTCTGTGTCTACAGTTCAACATATTCCGAAATGTTTGGTCCGTGGGACTGTAGCCAACCTTCCTTGACATGGATGCAGGAGGAAAGAGATAGATAGACAATACTATAGGTAACAAAAGAGCCCTGAACAGAAAGATATTAAAGGTGAACTTCAAGCTCAAGGAATATCAGTGTCAGATCACACCATCTGTTAAAATGGACTTAGTGTGAAACCATTGTTTATACAAATCCTTAAAAAGCTACCCTGGAATTTGGAACACCACCAAGCTTCTGAGTGAATTTCACAAGTTACCTTTTTGCCAAGATACATTAGCTCTATGTTCACAGATGGACAACAGAGTATATATCATGAAAATAACACTGTCCATATTGTCAAACATGGAGGAGACTCCTATGTCTTGGGTTTATTTGGCACAGGGTATCATGAATCTCTGTAGGGTCTAAGGAAATCTTAAGACTATGATGGGATTTTAGAGAGAAATGTTCTTTGAAGTGTCAGAAAGCTTGGTTTTAGTTGCAAGTAGTGCAACAAGATAATTACCCAAAATACACAGCTAAAAA